GTTGAAAAACGATGGAGGCAACACCTTGTACGAAAATAGCAGTGCCTGTAACTGTAGGTTTGATTTCTACCTTGTTATCAAAAGTGGAATAATATTGGCTAGGGAAGGGAGAAAATTAAAGTTGGAAAATGTGTTAATACACTCTTATAAGAGAGGCATCTTGAATTTATTTCAAGCCCAAAATAGTGGCTTTCATTGGCCTACATGTAGAAACAAACGATTTCAGAAACAAACAATGTTTCAATCATTGCGCATATGGTTGAAGCTTTAAAACTTTTAAAGTAACTTGAGTGGCGGTGATGGGGGACTAAGAAAAAAAGGGTAAAATGGATTTTCATTTACTCAAGAAGAGTTCCCAGCCTCAGGAATAGGATAGTATGGTTACACGTATATTCCCTTCAAAATGGTTCATTTTAAAACAGTGTATTTGGATATGGATTGTATACTTCTCACTTATAAATTGATGTAGCCAAAACGTTCAGATGTATGCTACATTGTTTTTGGATGTAAATCTAAGCTTAATCGTTTCCATGTTGTTCAAATAGTGACAATTAACATTGCAAAAAAAGAAATGAACATGTGGCACATTTATATGAGTTTTCCATTACTATACTAGCCATGAATGTAAGTTTAGTACTCTTTTTCTGTAGTCTCCAAATGAATGTAAAGTTTTGTGTCAAACTCATAGAAAATGCAGCTAAGAAAAATCTCCCAACTCTGACAGTTCTTAGGTGTAGCATCGATATTTTCAATCATATCTCTGTCACTGAATTTTCAAAAACTAATTTACAATATTTTTTGGTTTCTTACAGGCAACAACTGTCTAAAGCAAGTGTGCCTGAGTTCATCATCAAGTCAGCCCAATTAAGGTACAAGTGTAGCAATTTCCTAGTAAGCATCATAGCATAGTACATGAAACAGCCAAAGATGAACATTACAAGTGGAGACGAAGTCACCTCAGTAGGCTGTTTGCACCTTCGCGACAATGTTGTGCTTTCTTTAGATGGCAGAGAGCTTTACCAGCACTATTAGGGCTTAGAACTTCAATCTAATGGGCATTTGTAGCTGGTATTGCTGATATTCGGCTAGAATTGTAATGTGGGCAGTGTTGTAATTTGGAGAGAGTACTTCACTGCTCCATCGATTTCAAATACATACATGTATAC